TTTTTAAGAGGAGAATCTACATTTTGTGTAATATTTTTTGGTTTTTTCACATTTTTATTTCATAGCAAAGAAACAGCTTCAGAAATGCAAAATGACACATGCATAAACTTAAGTGAATCCTGCAGGTTCTGAGTTTTCACAAGAGACATAACGTGACATGACCTAAACTGAGAATGAGAAACACCAGAGGGCGCTATACTAACACTGTTTGGATTTGAGAGGACACTGGGTGCATCTCATTTCTCTTTTCTTGTTTACTTCCTTGATTCCTCTTCTGAAATGGGTGAGGAAGCAGAAGAGGAGACAAGAGCAGAGGAGAGAGGAAGGTGTTGACATGAGCTGAGGGTGAATGAGACACTTTCTTCAGGCGCTGGTTCAGATCAAAATGACCCTATAATGAGGAATTACACTAAGGATTATTTTATATTATTATTTCAGGACTTTTAAATCAAAGTCAGACCAAGATAATATACATACATACATCCACATATACATACACATCTATCTTTTATATTCATTTACCTGTGTGTTCACAACAACCCCCTATGTACATACATGTGTGGATACATGCATGTGTACACCCACATACACACATACAAACATATAAGCACATACATATATACATATACAAATACATTCACATATATACATATATGCATATATCCATACAAATATATATTTTATTACATCTCTTTTATATTATAAGAGGCAGAGCATAATATTATCAATGTTATACTCTACCTTTTTTTCCCTTAATCCCTTCACCCAGTTAATTAGTGACCCCCCACCAAAATAGATAGATAAATAATATAATAATAATAATATTAATAATGAATTAATAAACATGCACATACACATTCATACATGTTCACTCACTCATATACACCCATACACACATTCACACATAAAAGGTAGGATACATATCATCTTGTATCACAGGTGCCCATAACTCCTCAAATTTCTTCATTTTAAATTGCAGTCTTGCTGTTACTCAAGATAAATGTGTTTTAACTTTTTTAAAATTATTATTAGTTTTAATGTTAAATTCAGTAATACGTAACATGTCAGACACACTTTGCTGCTGTCCCTGTACTTGTGTAGTTGGGACAGTTGTTTTAATCGTTGTTTGCCTCTTGAACTCTCACGCAGGTTTCCTCTGTGGTTTCCTTTCCTTGTTTTCTCTGAGTTTTGGGACACACTTAATATGACACATTTGATTGACAACTGAAAAATGGAGGATCGAGGAAAAGGAAGTGAGGAAAGAGAAATGAGATGCGTCCAGTGTCCTCTCAAATCCAAACAGTGTCACTATGGCGCCCTCTGGTGTTTGTGAAAGGTAAGGTAGTATTATGTATCGTGCTGATTTAGACTTGGCACTACACGACGCACACCACATCTGAACTGGGACTAAACCTGGACTACAGCAGGACCAGACCAAGTCTTCATCAGGACTGTAAACCAGGATTAAACTGTTCAGCCATGTGTTTATGTTTAAAGGTGCACTGTGTAACATTTCTAGTAGAGGTTACACAGCGTAGATTAAACCTTTATCTGTCATGAGAGAGACGAGCAGGTCACAGCACTACACTACATTACAGTTCAGATCTGTGGAGAGGCGCCCCTATTCAGAGAAGGAATTGTATTTTTGAGGAATAAAACACATGTAATGAATAAATGTACATTGATCTGTTTAATGCCATATCATGGAACATTCCAGGAAAAGCAGTAACATCTCCATGGAGACAAGTAAGTAGCAGATCCTCCACTAGAAAAGTTGCACAGTGCCCCTTTAAGACATAAATATTTACTTTTGAGGACACATGTAAGATGATTTCTGTCATATAATCTGGCAACCCAAAGTAAAGGGCTCATTCTGTTTTCTGATTGGATAATTTGACTGAGAACTAAGTTTTTACTTGTATATTTTTTGTTCATTATTACTGTGACATTATCAGTAAAATTAGTATTTGATTAAACCTAAATTTGATTTTTGAGGCACAAACTTTGTTATGGCATAAACTGTTTGGGTACACAGCACACGTGTAAAGCTTTAATCTCCAAATAATCAAGAGACTTTGACTGTTTAGAGCATAAATCACAGAGTAAAACCATAAGAAAGCACACATATTTTTATTATGTTTTTATTATTTTGTTGTGTTACATTTTAAAATAATTCCACATGAACACATTCATTGGCATAGGACTGAATAAGAGAAAACAAAATAAAATGTTGACAAGGACATAAAGATGTTTTTATAACATTATCACAGAGGCTTTTTCCTGCTCACAATAACAATAATATATCTACCACTACATTTGCAACCAAGTAGCCAAAACTTATTCAATCAAATTGGAAAATCAATCAAATAATGGTTAAAAAAAAAAAAAACCCAAAAACCTCACAACAAAACAACTTGCAGTGTACAAAAAAAAAAAAAAAGATAAAATGAGGAACCACAAAAAACGGGTGGAAATAGGGGGAAGCTGAGCACGAACGCTGAATACAGATTTACTCAAACATGCATAAATCATTATAAATCATTCATAATATCACTGAGTAAGAGTACAATGACACAAAGCCATTTTAAGACTTAGGTAAAAGTTTAATATGTGCAGTACTTTAAAGTATTAGTCAAACTGGGGTTCTTTAAGTAGAGCCCAACATCTCAGTGTGATTTGTACCCGATTCATTTTTTACTGATCACTTGTATTTATCTGGACACATTTGTCCTTGTAAAAACAACAGATGAGTTGATCTGTGCACAACACACTCTGTACAGTTATTTTCTTTACAAATGTGGAGAAAACAGAGGAAACTTCTGTGTTTGCAAAGGTACATCTTTCATGCTAATGCTAACTGCTATTAAAATGTTAATTCTAACATCACAACAAAATTTAATTTGTAGTTAGGACAACCCGTATATTTTTAGGCACAGATTATTTCAGTTTGTGGTGTTATTTTAATATGTGTTATGCTTCAAAATTAGCATTAGCACGACACACACAGACGTACCTTTGTAAACACAAGTTTCCCTCTGTAAAGTTTTCACCACATTTATAAAGAATCTGTCAGGATTTATTGATTTTAACTTGACTCTGCACAAACCTCACAGACGTTACATCAGAACACAACCCAGGACTAAAAGAGCTTTATTCTGAGAGGAGAGTGGCTCTGGGCCATCGACTCAAAATAGGAAAAACAAAGCAACTGTTCTCAGCTTAGATAATTTATGAAGTCACACTACTGGTCCACTTCCTCTATTAACTCACTTATTTCTTTTTCATGTTGTTTTTGAATAGTTTCCTTCTCTTCTTCCTGCTCTTTTTGCTTTGCTTTTTTCTCCTCCTCATTTGTGACTTTCTTTATTTCTTCTTCATGTTTTGTGACAAGTTCATTTATTTCTTTTTCATGTTTTGAGAGAAATTTATTCATTTTAATCAACTTTCCTGGTTTTGCCCAAAGTCGTTTTACTAAAACACTTATTTCTCTCTGATGCTTTTCTCTCTTCTCCCTCTCATTATGAGCATTTAGTGCCTGCAACAGATCAAATCTCTCATTTTTTTCTTTAATTTGTTCCTTGTGAAGTTGTTTCAGATATTCTGTTTCCTTTCTGTGATTTTCTTTGAACTCATTGAACACTTCAGCTTGTCTTCTGGCCTCTTCTTCATATTTCCTCTTCATTTCTTCCAACTGTTTTTGATGTTCCTCCTCTAACTCTTCTAGTCTGATTTTTTCCTCTAGAGCTTTTCTTTTTTGTTCCCACTCCTGACGCTGTTGTTTCTCTTCTTCCCTCCTTTGGCCTTTTTCGTTTTCTTTGTTTTCCTGTTCTCTTTTTCGCTCTTCTTTATATTTGTCCTCTATGTCTTTAAATTCTTTTTCTCTCTGCTCTTTCTCTTTGTGTATTTCTCTCATTTCTTCTTGTCTTTTTTCCTCTTCTCGTTTTCTTTCTTCATCTTCTTGTTTTCGTTTCTCCAACCATTCATTTCTTTCTCTTTCCCACTTCTCTCTCTCCTGTTCCATCTGTCTCCTGCTCTCTTCTAGTTTTATTTCAACCTTTTCTTTAGATTGCTCTTCAGATCTGATTTTTTCTTCCAGTTTTTTGTGTTTTCGTTCCCATTCCTGGTGCTGTTTTTCCTCTTCTTCCTTCCTCTGTTTGTCCTCCTCTTCTCTCTTTTTTTGTTCTCTTTCACGCTCATATTCTACTTCTTTAATTTTAATTTCCTTTTCTTTTAGGTCTTTTTCTTTCTGCTCTTTTTCATTTTCAATTTGTCTAATTTCTTCTTGTAATCTTTTCTCCAAGTGTCGTCTTTCTTCATCTTCTTGTTTTTGTTTCTCCCACCATTCTTTTCTTTCTCTTTCCCGCTGTTCTCTCTCTTGTTCCATCTGTCTACTGTTTTCTTGTAGTTTTATTTCAAATTTTTCTTTAGATTGCTCTGTGGATTTGATTTTTTCTTCCAGTTCCTTACGTTTCCGTTCCCATTCCTGGTGCTGTTTTTTCCTCTTGTTCCTTCCTCTGTTTGTCCTCTTCTTCTCTCTTTTTTTGTTCTTTTTCTCGCTCATTTTCTACTTCTTTAATTTTCATTTCCTTTTCTTTTAGTTCTTTTTCTTTCTCCTCTTTCTCGTTTCGAATTTGTCTTATTTCTTTTTGTAACCTTTCCTCCAGTTGTCGTCTTTCTTCATCTTCTCTTTTTCGTTTCTCCCACCATTCTTTCCTTTCTCTTTCTCGCTGTTCTCTCTCCTGTTCCATCTGTCTCCTGTTTTCTTGTAGTTTTATTTCAAACATTTCTTTAGATAACTCTGCGGATTTGACTTTTTTTCTTCCAGTTCTTTGTGTTTCCGTTCCCATTCCTGTTGCTGTTTTTCTTCTTGTTCCTTCCTCTGTCTGTCCTCCTCTTCTCTCTTTTTTTGTTCTCTTTCGTTCTCATATTCTACTTCTTTAATCTTCATTTCCTTTTTATTTAGTTCTTTTTCTTTTTGTTGTTTTTCAGTTTCAATTTGTCTAATTTCATTATGTAATCTTTTCTCTTGTTGCCGTCTTTCTTCATCTTCTTGTTTTCGTTTCTCCCACCATTCTTTTCTTTCTCTTTCTCGCTGTTCTCTCTCCTGTTCCATCTGTCTCCTGTTCTCTTCTAGTTGTTTTTCAAACATTTCTTTAGATTGCTCTGCGGATTTGACTTTTTCTTCTAGTTCTCTGTGTTTGCGATTCCATTCTAGGTGCTGTTTTTCCTCTTGTTCCTTCCTCTGTCTCTCCTCCTCTTCTCTCTCTTTTTTGGTCTCTTTCTACTTCTTTAATCTTCATTTCCTTTTCTTTTAGTTCTTTTTCTTTCTGCTCTTTTTCATTTTCAATTTGTCTCATTTCTTTTTGTAATTTTTTCTCCAGTTGTTGTCGTTTTATTTCTTCCTGTTGGTATTTTCTCTCCATCTCCTCCCTCTCTTTCTTCATCTCCTCTTCCTTCTCTTTCATAATTTTCATCATCTCTTTTTTAATGGCTGCATCAGCCTCTTTGAGCATGTCGTTGGTGTAACAGCCTCCACCGTTTTCCTTCACCATCTCATCGATCTTCTGCAGCAGCTCCACGACCTGAGTGCGATTCTCTTTATCTCTGTTATTAAACACATGGTACCTGTTCCCACACTCAGAGATCAGTTCCTTAAAGAAACTTTCACAATACTTTTCTATGTAATCTTCAATTGACATTTCATCATTGACCGGCTGATCTCCATGTGTAAAAAGAATAAGAGTAAACTTTAGTGCCTCTTTTCCAAATGCTGATTTCATTAATTTTACTGTCTCTCTCTCTTCTTGTGTCAGTCGTCCAATTTGTAAAACCAACAGAAAAACATGTGGTCCAGGAGCTAAAAGACTGATGCATCTCAACATTTCATCATGTGACATGGTTGTGTCAAAGAGTCCTGGAGTGTCCACCACAGCCACAGAGCGTCCGTCTACTGTACTGTTTTCCCTTTTACAAACTTTAGTGACAGATTTTTGATTCGCCATAGCTGAAAACTCCTTTCTTCCCAAGATGGTGTTTCCTGAGGAACTCTTTCCGGTTCCTGTTTTTCCAATCAGAACGATCTTCAGACAATCAGGACTCAGACTATCACCACCTGAAAAATAATAAAAACATGTAAGAAATGTAACACTTTAAAGGGACAGTCTGGAATTTTGGACATAGAGCCTCATTACATAGTGAGCCAGAGTGTTGCAGACACGTGGAGACACTTTTTAAAATATTCCATTCAGTCCTTGTATTTTCAGAGGTCGCTGGTGCTAGACTAGTGCATGTCAATGGTCACAGTTATCCTGCCACTAAATACAGTCTTACCCACTCCACAAAACACCTGAAGCAAATCTATTCTTACGCCAGACTGTCGATGTGAATGTCTGTGTTGATAGAATAATTTTAAAAGTAAAACCAACCTTGCATTTGAAGGATTTATGTCTGAACAGCAGCAGTGAGTTGTGCTTCCTGATAGAAAACTCAGCAGAGGTGGACTGATATCATCTGGCACCAATCTTACCGGCAAAGTAAAATTCCGCTGCTGCTGAGAAAATAGTCCCTCAACAGGTGACAATTTGTGTGATACAAGGTTAGTTTTATTTCAAACATTATTCTATCAACACAGACATTTACATGGACAATCTGGTGTAATGTAGATTTGTTTCTGGTGTTGTGTGGAGTGGGTAAGACTGTTTTTAGTGGCAGGATAAACTATGGCCATTGACATGCACTAGTCTAACACCAGTGACCTCTGCAAATACAAGAATATTTTAAAAAGTGTTTCCACATGTGACGTCTCCAACACTCTGGCTCACTAGGAAATTAGGTCCTATGTCCAAAATTCTGGACTGTAAACATGTAACAGGTTTCAGGCCTGTTGGTCAGGATGAATGTTCATGGGGGAAATGATGAGACAGGAAACAGTAAAGTTTACCTTTGCCTCACTACTGCCACATAGCCCCTTGGCTAGTTCTGGTTCAGAAATGTAGATCCTCAATTCCATTCATTCTGTATAAGTAATTATCTGAGTTGTGGTAAAATAAATCAATATTTAAACATCCTCGTCCTTGAAGTCCATTACAGGCAAGTCAATAAATAATAACATTGCCATGACATTCAAGCTTTAAACTACTTGTGGAAAGCATTATACATATTGGCCTATAATGGCCTGGTGAACTCCATAAAAATAAGTTTACATGGTTGAATGACAAACAGAATGTTAAAATAATTTGCAGGATTCCATTTAATATCCATCCATCCTTTTTCTTCTGCTTATCCAAGGCCCAGTCAGAAGGCAGCAGTCTAAGCAGGGACTCCCAGACTTCCTTCACTCCAGACACATCCTCCAGCTCCTCTGGAGGGACCCCGAGGTGTTCCCAGGTCAGCCAAGAGACCAGTGTGTCCTGGGTCTTCACCAGGGCCTCCTCCCGGTGGGACATGCCCAGAACACCTCCCGAGGGAGGCACCCAGGAGGCATCCGGAACAGATGCCCGAGCCTCAACTGGCTCCTCTTGATGTGGAGGAGCAGCGGCTCTACTCCGAGCTCCTCCCGTGTGACTGAGCTCCCCACCCTATCTCTAAGGAAGCACCCAGCCATCCTGCAGAGGAAACTCATTTCGGCCGCTTGTATCCACGATCTTGTCCTTTTCATTATCATTATCTAGAGTTCACGCCCACAGATGAGAGCAGGAACGAAGACTGAGCGGTAAATCGAGAGCTTTGCCTTTCGGCTCAACTCCCTCTTCACCAAAACGGTCCGATATAGCGAACGCATCACTGCCAACATTGCACCGATCCACCTGTTAATCTCATACTCCATCCTCCCCTCACTCGTGAACAAGACCCCGAGATACTTGAACTCCTCCACTTGAGACAGGGACTCTACCCGGAGAAGGCAAACCACCTTTATCCAGTCGAGAACCGTGGCCTCGGACTTGGAAAAGCTGATCCTCATCCCAGCCGCTTCACACTTGGCTGCAAACCGCCCCAGTGCACATTGCAGGTCCTGGCTTTATGAAGCCAACAGGACAACATCATCTGCAAACAGCAGAGATGAAATTGTGTGGTCCCCAACCCGGACCCCCTCTGGTCCCTGACTGCGCCTAGAAATTCTGTCCATAAACACAATGAACAGAACCGGTGACAAAGTGCAGCCCTGACGAAGTCCAACATGCACCGGGAACAGGTCTGACTTACTGCCGGCAATGAACACAGCTCCTGCTCTGGTCATACAGGGATCAGACAGCCCTAAGCAAAGGGCCCCAGACCCCATACTCCCAGAGCACCCCCCACAGGACACCACGAGGACACGGTCGAATGCCTTCTCCAAGTCCACAAAGTACATGTGGACTGGTTGGCCAAACTCCCATGAACCCTCGAGCACCCGATGGAGAGTGTAGAGCTGGTCCAGTGTTCCACGGCCAGGAGGAAAACCACACTGCTCCTCCTGGATCCGAGGTTCGACTATCGGCCCGATTCTCCTCTCCAGTACCCTGGCATAGACCTTACCCTGAAGGCTGAGGAGTGTGGTTCCCCTGTAGTTGAAACACACCCTCTGGTCCTCCTTCTTATACAGAGGGACCACCACCTCGGTTTGCCAGTCCAGAGGTACTGTCCCCGACCGCCCCGCAATGTTGAAGAGGCGTGTTGGCTAAGACAGCCCCACAATATCCAGAAGCCATCTAGCCACTAGATAATTCTCAAATAATAGACTATTTTCTTATCCTCTTTTCCTTGAATCCTAAAACACTTAATTGCTACTGTATATACCATACCATATATACCATACCCACCATAAATTTTCATTTAAAAGGATTTTAGATTTAAGATTTAGATTTAGATTAGGTTAGCATTTCTTCGAGATAGAAATACCTGCCGTTCTGTTAATACAGAAGAAGAAGAAGTATTTACATTGTAGTGAAGGTCCATGCTGTCTGTGATTATCCATCTGTAACTTACGGTCTGCATCCTGATCACAGACTGTATAAAAGAAGTGGACTAAGTCAGTGTGACGTCACTCACAGTGTGTTCAGCTCCACTCAAATAAAGCTCCTATTGCTAACGATTACAGGAGTGAATTTGGAGCCAGGCTCCATATTTGGAAATCCGATGCTCGTAGCTGTGGTTATAAGGTCTGTGGTGCCTGTTGCGATGGCAATCCCTGAACCCGGTGGTGGACACTGAAAGTAAAGGATGATGTCAGGCTGAAGAAGGCGTCCTATCGGGCCTTCTTGGCTCATGGGACACCTGAAGCAGGTGACAGGTTTCGGCAGGCCAAGCATGCTGCAGCCCGGGTGGGGTTAAAATTCGGGGTTGGGAGGAGTTCAAAGAGGCCATGGAGGAGGACTGTTGGTTGGCCTCAGAGAAATTCTGCCTAACCATCTGATGCCTCAGGAGGGGGAAACAGTGCTCCACCAACACTGTTTACAGTACTGGGAGGGAGCTCTTGACCTAGTGGTCACTCGTGGTCATACTGGTCTCATATTTACTTTGTTTTATGGTGTTTGTTTCTGTGCTGCTTTGTGTTGTGTTGTCCTGTTTTTTGATAAAGCATGTTACCCCCTGTCCCAAGACAAATTTCTCCCATGGGAGACAATAAAGGATTATCTTATCTTATCTTATCTTAGACTGAGGATTGGGTCAGACAGTGTTCTGTTCATTGTATTTATGGACAGAATTTCTAGGCACAGTCAGGGACCAGAGGGGGTCCGGTTTGGGGACCACAGGATCACATCTCTGCTGTTCGCAGATGATGATGTTCTGTTGGCTTCATCAAGTCAGGACCTGCAATGTGCACTGGGGCAGTTTGCAGCTGAGTGTGATATGGCTGGGATAAGGAACAGCTCTTACAAGTCCGAGGCCATGGTTCTCGACCGCAAAACAGTGGCTTGCCCTCTGCAGGTGGGTTGAGAGTCTCTGCCTCACGTAGAGAAGTTCAAGTATCTCAGGGTCTTGTTCATGAGTGACAGGAGGATGGAGCGTGAGATTGACAGGCGGATCGGTGCAGCATTGGCAGTAATGCAGTCGCTGTATAGGACTGTTGTGGTGAAGACGGAGCTGAGCCAAAAGGCGAAGCTCTTGATTTACTGTCAATCTACTTTCCTCCCCTCACCTATGGTCATGAGCTCTGGGTAATGACCTGAAGGATGAGATCGCGGATACAAGGGGCTGAAATGAGTTTCCTCTGCAGGGTGGCTGGCCGCTCCCTTAGAGATAGGGTGAAGAGCTCAGTCACACGGGAGGAGCTCGGAATAGAGCCACTGCTCCTCCATGTTAAGAGGAGCAGCTGAGGTGGCTCAGGCATCTGTTCCAGATGAGGGAGGAGGCCCTGGGGAAGACCAAGGACACACTGGAGGGACTATGTCTCTTGGCTGGCCTAGGAACACCCCCAGAGGAGCTGGAGGTGAAGAAAGTTTTTTCTTAGACTGTTGGCCCCATGACCCGGCCCAGGATAAAAAATGGTTGGATGGTTGCACTATATACTATGTAATATATGTTTTGAATTATTATGCATTTCTTAAGCTGCATATGAATAATTATTAAGGTCAGATATCGTATTAGATATCTCTTCTTTTCTATCTGCCCTTACCCTGTAAGGTCCCATGAGCCAAGCAACAACAAAAAAAGTACTGACTCCCACTCATTCCACAATGAAAAAAGAAACGCTGTGTCTGCTGTGCTCCTTCTCTCCTCTCCACACCTAGCCACTCATACAGCACTAAACACAACACAGGGTCCTGAAGCTGGATGTGCTGAGACAACTGGGACCACATATAGATAGAGTCAGTCCAAGAGGGTTACATAAATATTGACTTATTTTTAAGCGCCACTGAGATAATTCCTCATAGAGAATGAATAGAGCAGGAAGAGAGGATCCACACTTTTGAGAGAACCAGAACTAGTCAGGTGGCAGTGTGAAAAGGGAGAAGAGGGCCTCTGACCACAGAATGGAGCTGAACCATGGATCTGGAATTAAATTTCTCATTCACTTTTACCATACAGTTTATGGGAAAAAAGACCTATAATATTATTAAATGACCTATGGTCATGAGCTCTGGGTAGTGACCGAAAGGACGAGATCGCGGATACAAGCGCTCGAAATGAGTTTCCTCCGCAGGGTGGCTGGGTGCTCCCTTAGAGATAGGGTGAGGAGCTCAGTCACACGGGAGGAGCTCGGAGTAGAGCCGCTGCTCCTCCACGTCGAGAGGAGCCAGTTGAGGTGGCTCGGGCATCTGTTCCGGATGCCTCCTGGGCGCCTCCCTCGGGAGGTGTTTCGGGCATGTCCCACCGGGAGGAGGCCCTGGGGAAGACCCAGGACACGCTGGAGGGACTATGTCTCTCTGCTGGCCTGGGAACGCCTCGGGGTCCCCCCGGAGGAGCTGGAGGACGTGTCTGGGGTGAAGGAAGTCTGGGAGTCCCTGCTTAGGCTGCTCCCCCCGCGACCCGGCCCCGGATAAGCGGACGAAAATGGATGGATGGATGGATATTATTAAATGCATTTCACCAAATCTTGTGTCTTAACAGTGGCGGACCGTGCATTTCAGACCTAGGCCTTCAGTAGTGCTCTGTCTGGAAACAGTCCACTCCTCAATAACTATTTTATGGTTATAAAAGCATTTTTATTATTAGGGGTGTCAAATTATCGCATTAATTGCGATTAATTAATTACAGTCATATTTAGCGCGTTATGTTTTTTAATCGAGTTAATCTCATTTTTAATCTCTAACTTTAGTGTTTCTGTATGTGAGTTGCTTTATTATAAAACCTGTTTTTATGTGTTGTTGGGACAACAACACACACACACGCACAAAAAAAAAACACATTTATACATTTTTTAATTTCGGCAATTCCACTCATTGTCGGAAACCCGCACAAAACACGCGCAGTAAGAGCGACGTTTACGGCGTCGTCAGTCGCACAATGGACGAGGTCGTAGAGCCAGTTGAACAGAGGCAGCAGTGCACAGGTAAAAACGCATTCGTGTCTTGGAAATTATTCTCCCGACGTGAAATATAAAAGAAAATAACAAATATAATATCGCCTACAACTTAAATGTCACTGGTGAAAACAACCTGCATAGACTCATGATGTCTGCACTACTGTCCTATAGTGACCTGCCACATGAGGGGACACGCACACAAACACACACACAAACAAACACAAACACACACAAACACAAACACACACAAACACACACACACCTTCATCATCGTCATCAACCTGAGAACGCGCGGACCACGTTTCCTTCCGTAGTTACTGACGTGCTCCCGTGAGCCGCGTGTGGATCGTGTTTTCTCGCGTACGCGGCGTAAACCGCGCTTCCTCCTGTGCCTCTAAACCAGAACTAACACCAAGACTAAAACCGGGACTAACCCAGTCCAGGACTAAACCAGGTCTAAACCAGGTCTAAACCAGGACTAAACCAGGTCTAAACCAGGACTAAACCAGAATTAAAACCAGAACTAAAACCAGGACTAACCCATTCCAGGACTAAACTAGGACTAAAGTAGGACTAAAGCAGGTCTAAACCAGGACTAAAACCAGTGATCTCATATATAAAGCATTTCTCTATCAATAATATTTTTAATATGGTTAAGGAAAGACTGGACTTTTTATTGTCTTTAAGTCGACAAAAGTTATTATGTTCAGATTTCCTCGTCTTTGCTACTTTACAGCAAACAGTTTCTTATTCATGGAGACTTGGGCTCAACAGCCAATTTGGAGAGATTTGTTAAACAATAAATGACTTTATAAAGTCACTTTTTTTTGTTCTATATCAGTCTTTTGATCTGCCACAATAATGTAATAATGAATTTAAATGAAAATACCTCAAATTGAAGCTTTTCTCAGCAATTTTTAGGTGAGATTAAAATGAGATTAATTAGATTAATTAATTACAGATCATAATTAATTAATCTCTCAATTTTTTTAATCGCATGACAGCACTATTTATTATACAGAAAAACAGTATAAAGAGCTGTGGAGATTCCATGCGCAGAGAAGAGATTAGAGGGGGGGTGCGTGGTGCACGGAGAAGAAGTCAGGAGCACTAGGGTGCTAAACCAGGACTAAACCAGAACTAAACCAGGACTGTTTGTCGGGACAGGCCCGAAGGTGCCCCTGCATAGACTGTCGGGTGACCGCAGATGAAAGGACCCCAGAGGGGCACTGCACGGGGCTCAGTGCAGCTGTTGTCTGATCGCGATTTGTGGACACCCTGCTCCATTGTTTCAGGAGTTCTCTCTCTCAAGTCCAAGATTAGTCCTGGTTTAGTCCTGGTTCAGTCCTGATTTAGACCTGGTTTAGACCTGATGTAATCCTGGTTTAGACCTGGTTTAGTCCTGGTTCCACTACAGATGCAGTTTGCTGCTTTGGCTGGTGTGTTCTGTCCAATCAGTGGCTCTGAATCCGGTGACGTCGTACGCCTACTAGAAGGCCCTGGTGATACCAAATCAAAATCTGATTGTTTGAAGCAACAGTTTCATCGACATTTATTTTGTGTTCGAGGGCCTGCAGAATGGATTGTGAAGGCCTAAAGCACTTCTTTGACTTTGACTCTGCCTAGCAACAAGTGACGGCTGAAATGTGATTTGTGAAATGCTTTAAAATGAAAATACATGTCTGGAAGCAGCACAACCAACCGGAAAAGCTCTGAAAGGAAACGGACGGACCATTTGGAAATATTTAATAATAATAATATAATTAATATCTGTCTGTGAGTCAGATATTTTTTTTAGGTCAGCAGAGAAGGCCTTGCAGGTCCTGACCGCCCGCCACTGTGTCTTAAATGTGATTTTTGGACATTATGGATATTAGTTAGCAGGTGTCTAGTTAGCCTCCTGAACTCTTAATATTTCAATCCATGGTAAATATGAATGGGAAATTTATTCTTCAGGGCAAGCAGTCACTGTTGTACAACTACAGAGTTATTACTCAAATTAAGACTTACTCAATATATACAATAACACATAATGTGAATACACAAAACTTACCACAGAATGTGTAAAAATAATGCAATTTAAACTTTCACTTCATAAAAATTGCATGTAGTGGCATAAATAAGAATATTAACAACCATACTCACATCTGTTCCCGTTACTTTTCATGTCCTCAATTTGTTTGTGTTGAGCTGAAATCTTCTCTATTTGAGCTTGCACAAGTGTCTCTGTGGTGTAGCTGTAACTTTTATTCTTGGTCTTTAATGTGTATAAATAATCCAGCAGCTGAGGGACCTGCTGTTGGTCACTGAGGTTGAATATAAAATATCCTCCTCCACAGCTCTGACACAGCTCCTGGATGTCTCTGTCTCCTTCAACAAACTTGTGCACAGCTGGAGCAGTGGGCTCTGAATGAATGAACAGAATCATAGTGAAGGGACGGACTCGAGAGCTGAGTGTGTCCTGGATGATCTTCAGCTCAGCCTTGTCTTCATCAGTGAGAGGAGCCACCGGTAGAATCAGGATGAAGACGTGGACGCCCTCAGGAGCACAGAGGGAGATGCAGTGGAGGCACTGCTGCATCACTGTCTCCAGAGGTTTTCCAGACAGAGCCGGCAGCTCCACCAGAGACACACGACGCCCACAGACCTCTCCCTCACGTTTAACACACTGCCCTGTGCTCCTCGCTGCAGGGAGCTGTGCTCGCCCTAAAATACACTCAGCTGTTGAAGTCTTCTCTGCTCCAGTCTTCCCAAAAAGAACCAGGTTCAGAGAGGGTTTCTGCTCGTCAGTGAGGGTAAGGAATGATGCTTTGTTTTGATCTACAAGGCTCTTGAGGGAATCGGTCAAGAGTTTGTAGTTTTCATCAAACATGTTGTAGAATCTTCCACCACAATCACTAATGAGCTTTGAAACACTGGTGGTCTTCTGGAACTTGTGTGTGAGAACCACCATGGAGTGTTTAAAGGCACCTGGACCAAACAGACTCAGGATGAAGGTCAGCGTTTTCCTGTCTTTCTCAGTGAAGTCTGAAGGATTCACCAGCAGCAGCAGAACGTTGGGTCCAGGAGAACACTGAGACACGCATTTCTTCAGTTCTTCTCGTACTGTCTCCACAGACAGACTGAACAGGTTTGGGGTCTTCACAACTTCTTCAAAGATATCATAGAGCTTCTGGTGAATAAAATTAAATATTTTTTCTTTTTTGTCATCACTTTTTCCAAACAGAACAATTCTGAGAGTGGAGTCTGGAAAAAATAGTTAAAAATTAGACATCAGTGAGAGGGAATCCCTTCTACAAAAGTATTTCTGTTTAGTCCAATGATAATGAGATAATTTAACTGTGATGCTGAGAATGTTTTAAAATGACTTACCAGAACCAGTACCAGAACATGACATCTCGAGTGTGGTAAATTCTGTGAAAAATGAAACATTTACTCAAAAGAAACACATGAAGGTTTATATCATAAATCAACTGGTTACCTTTTATAAAAATGGGGCCTTCTCTTTCTTTGGTCTGATAATGAGCGGCTGGAGGAGCATCCTCAAATATAACATAGGTACCATATTTTTCATTGTTCTCTTCAAGTATTTGAACTATTTGAGTCAAGAGTTCTTTGTGTACTTCAGAGATCATATGTGATTCAAGACTCTTCACCCACTGATATCTGTATTTGCACTTTTTAATCAGATCTTTCAGAGGGGAAGAAGTCACATAATCCTGCATTACACTTGTCTTTTTTGTTGCTGTCAGCAGCACCAGTGAATGTTGGAAGCTCTGCTCACTGAAGCTCCTCAGGACTGACTGTAGTCTGATGTTGTGTTGCTCAGTGAAGTCTTCAGGCTGTAGAACCAGCAGGAACACATGAGGACCAGGGTCACAGGCGTCTGCTATGTCTCTGACTAACTCTGACTGTGCATCTGCAGTGAGGTCAGGCTGGAGCAGGTCTGGACAGTTGATCACTGAGATCTTCTTGTCTTGGAGTTCTCCTGTTTGTCTGCTGGGTCTTTCAGGTTCTTTTGATGCATCAAACACAGACTCATTCAGTAACAGGTTTCCCACAGAGCTCCTCTGACTCCAGCCGCTCCCCAGAATCACCACCCTCAGCTCAGACACTGGAAATACACAAGAAACAAAATTAACTAAGAAAAAAAAAATAAAATAAAATCACCAATACTAATTATGTAACTTGTCCTTGATGTGTTCAGAAAAAATGTACTGCATTTAGGAAACAAAAATATTGCCTAATTTAAGGAATACTAAAAATCAAATAAATTCTGGAATGAAGGACTATATATTGCATTAATCCTGAGAGCGTTCATTTATTTCTCAAGTTTCCTTACGCAGGCTCATGTACACTTACAAGTGCCTGTGTGAGGAAAGAGCACTACTCCACATGTTCAGTGGGCAGTGAGCCACCGGCAAAGCCGCTAGCCGCTAAAGGCGAATCTAGAGACATGTGCCACTGACCATTGACTTAAATGGGCGGCCATGTTTAGACCATGGATCTATTATAAATGGATAGGGTATTGCTAGCTTAGAGCTGTTTTGAGTCAGGGTCGTGGCCAACATTAATCTACAGTGCATCCAGAAAGTATTCACAGCGCTTCATTTTTTCCACATTTTGTCATGTTACAGCCTTATTTCAAAGTGTATTAAATTAATCTCTTACCTCAAAATTCTACACACAATACTCCTTTATGACAATGTGAAAAAAGTTTTTTTTTACTTTTTTAAAATTTATTAAAAAGAGAAAATTAAGAAATCACATTTACATAAGTTTTCACATCCTTTGCCATGAAGCTCAAAATTGAGCTCAGGTGCATCCTTTTTCCACTGATCATCCTTGAGATGTTTCTACAGCTTAATTGGAGTCCACCTGCGGTAAATTCAGTCGATTGGCGGCAGTAACTCAGTTGGTAGAGCGTTCGCCCACTGATCTGAAGGTTGGTGGTTTGAATCCAGCTCTTGACATAAAACATCACAGGTTGAGCGGTCAGATCCACTGACCCACAGTTTGGCTGGTGTGATTCCAGCTCCCACAGATGAATGCTGTTGTTGTGTCCTTGAGCAAGGACACAACTTAACCCACCTTGCCCACAGTGTCTGCGTACACTGGTGTGAGTGGTTCCTTGTTGTAAAGGGCTTTGAGTGCCTTGAAGGTGAAAAAGCGCTATAGAAAAATGTGACCATTTACCATTTGGAAAGGCACACACCTGTCTGCTGTATACCTGACCGTGCATGTCAGAGCACAAACACCAAGCATGACGTCAAATGAATTGTCTTTAGACCTGCGAGACAGGATTGTCTTCAGGCTCAAATTTGGGGAATGATACAGAAAAATTTCTTCTGCTTTGAAGGTCCCAATGACCACAGTGGCCTCCATTATTTGTAAATGGAAGACATTTGGAACCACCAGGACTCTTCCTAGAGCTGGCCGGTTGTCTAAACTGAGCGATCGGGGGAGAAGGGAAGTCAGGGAGGTGACCAAGAACCCGATGGTCACTCTGTCAAAGCTCCAGTGTTCCTCTGTGGAGAGAGGAGAGACTTTCAGAAGGACAACCATCTCTGCAGCAATCCACCAGTCAGGCCTGTATGGTAGAGTGGCCAGACGAAAGCCACTCCTTAGTAAAAGGAACATGGCAGCCCATCTGGAATTTGCCAAAAGGCACCTGAATGACTCTCAGATCATGAGAAACAAAATTCTCTGGTCTGATGAGACAAAGATTGAACTCTTTGGTGTGAATGCCAGGCGTCATGTTTGGAGGAAACCAGGCACCGCTCATCACCAGGCCAATACCATCCCTACAGTGAAGCATGGTGGTGGCAGCATCATGTTATGGGCATGTTTTTCAGCAGCAGGAACTGGCAGACTAGATGAATGCATGCAGATAAATGAATGCAAACTAGATAAATGAATGTAACAATATACAGAGATATCCTGGATGAAAACCTGCTCCAGAGCGCTCTTGACCTCAGACTGGGGCGAAGGTTCATTTTCCAGCAGGACAACGACCTGAAGCACACAGCCAAGATCTCAAAGGACTGGCTTCAGAACCACTCTGTGAATGTCCTGGAGTGGCCCAGCCAGAGTTCAGACTTGAATTCGATTGAACATCTCTGGAGAGACCTGAAAATGACTATGCACAGACGTCTCTCATCCAACCTGATGGAGCTTGAGAATTACTGCAAAGAAGGATGGGCAAAACCACCTAAAGATCAGTGTGCTAAGTTTGTGGCATCATATTCAAAAAGACTTGAGCCTGTAATTGCTTCCAAAGGTGGATCAACGAAGTATTAAGCAAAGGCTGTGAATACTTATGTAAATGTGATTTATTAGTTTTCTATTTTTAATACATTCAAAAAATGGCAATTTTTTTTTTTTTCCACATTGTCATAATGGGGTATTGTGTGTTTAATTTTGAGGTAAGAGATTAATTTAATACAATTTGGATTGAGGCTGTAACATGACAAAAAATGTGGAAAAAATTAAGTGCTGTGAATACTTTTCAGATGCTCTGTATAATAAGAACTGGATCAGACACTCCCCCTGTGTCCGGTGAGCAAGATCGATTAGTCTGCAATTTTACAATAAGATCTTTTTAAAATTTTTGAATCTTCAAAGCGCCTAAAAGTTAGCTTGGTAAGATTTAGCTTAGCCTTACCCTAGTCGCTAGAGCTCTGATTGGTCAGAACTGCACGTTTCTGACGTTACACACTGGGCGGTAAGACCAATATTCAGGAAGTACCATGTGCAGTAGTGTTCTTCTGTCACAAGAGTGCACAGGTCCACCTGACCAGCTCTGACCAATCAGAGTGAGAGTCGAACAACGCTAGAACGAAGCAGAGCACAGCCGGAGCTATAAAAAGCTGTTTTTAAGACAACTGAAGGATTTTGAGCTGAGAAAAAGTTTATGATCTAAAAAAATAGGTTAAAATCGCCACAAAACCTGACCTTTTTTGCACTCGATGGGAAAAATCTTTTCTAGGCAGGAAGGATTTTGTTGGTGAAGCACCAGTGAGCGACCACGACGCCATCTCAAGACAGCTCTAATCTAGAAATAACCTAAACATTTTTTATTATAGATCCATGCCTTTTTCTTGTCAAGCTAATGCTAGTGCTAAACAGGAGGTAGCTTTACAAAATAAAAGTACAGCGTGTGAAACCCCGAAGTTAATTGGCCAAGTTTCAAATAAAATGCAATGACTACTTTTAGTAAAGGAAAAATATGCAGGTGTATTTATTTACAAGAAAGATATTCTGTTGTATATTTTTTATTTACTTACTGTCAGGTGGTAAAAATGGGAAACTACTGCTGCGCTTCAGTGGAAGTGGAACATCTGCAAATACAAAACAAAACAGTCAGAACATACAGATCTGTTAACATAGAAAAAGGTGTAACATTATTATTATTATTTATTTCCTTTTCTGCATAGATATGATGATCTTACAACTCTAGACTTTGTAAATCCGTGTATTATTAGTTCATTAGTTTTTCAATATAAAACCAAAAATAAGAAAACAAACAAACAAAAAAAAATCTTCATTATTTGTCTCCAAAACTAAAATGAAAAAATGCATAACGATCCATTTTGTCAGTTTTCGATTTTACGTTTAAATGAAAAATGGAAAAAATGGATAACGGCCTTTCCTGTTTCTGTGACTTAAACTGCAATGCCGAACTGAACCAGGCCTAAGACCGGGCCTGAGACCGGGCCTGAGACCGGGCCTGAGACCGGGCCTGAGACCGGGCCTGAGACCGGGCCTGAGACCGGGCCTGAGACCGGGCCTGGTTCCTTCCTGGTTCAGTCCGTCCGGCATCGCAGTTTAAGTCACGGAAACAGGAAAAGGACGTTATCCTTTTTTTCCATTTTTCATTTAAACACAAAATTGAAAACTGAAAAAAACAAATTATCTGTTTTTTCATTTTGGTTTTGGAGACCAATAATGAAGAAAATAGTTTTTTCGTTTTCTTATTTTTGGTTTTATTATGAGTCCAAAGAAAAGAGTCTTGGTATAATTTCAGCTGAAGAAGGTTAAATGACCATGAAAATGAAAGCCACAAACGCGTTAATACCTTATTTGACGCGTATTATAATCTTATTTGAAGCGTCAAATTATTATGGATATAATAATTAACTCCTCCATCTTATTTTCCTAGTCAATGAAAAGGCTCCAGAACAATCCAACACCGATCTCCCAATGCACATTCTTTACTCTAATGTCCCTTTTACTGGTGGTGCTCCCCCTGCAGACCACAGCGAAGTACAGGTGCTGACCAGACTGGGAGAAGATCAAACTAGAAGTTGTAGAAGATACAACTTGCACTCATGATTTTACAAAGACTCCTTTAGTAATGATTGTTCTTAGTGGTGCATGGAAAGGACCAGATCTGCTCTGTCTCACAGCACTGGAGTCTGTTGAGATTTTCATTGTCCAACTACAACATTAGGCTGATCTGTGATGGCCTATCCACAGCACCAGAGAGAACTCCAGCGGTGAACATGTGATACAGTAAAGTGACCTTTAATGAAAATCCATGAAAAAATGTGAATTTGCTCAGTTGTGACATGCTTTATACATAAACAGGTTTATTAAAATCTAATGGCTCAACATGTAAAAGAATCACTCTCCAGTCCTCGTCTTAATGTGTCATACTCAGTGTTGGGAAGGTGACTTTTTAAAATGTATTCCCTTACATATTACAGATTACAGACCCCAAAATGTAGTTTGTAACGTAACCCATTAAATTACTTAAAGTGAGTAACGTAATCTGATTACTTTGGATTACTTGATATTGTCATGCTTTTAAAAAACAACGTGAATGTAGCGACCACATCCTGAAAATTCTTGTTTGTTCTCTTCAAACTGTCTGTTGAGCCCAAGTCTCTATGAATAAGCAACTGTTTGCTGTAGAGAAGCAAAGACTAGGATATTTTAACATAAAAGCTAAAAAGACAATAACAAGATCAGTCTTTCCTTAACCATATTAAAAAATATTATTGATAGAGAAATGCTTTATATCAGATCACCTTAAATTATTAAAGTCTAACCTACTGTTAGGTGTCATATTGTTTAGGCCTGGTTTAGCCCTGGTTTTAGACGTGGTTTAGTCCTGATTTTAGACCTGGTTTAGTTCTGGTTTAGTCTAGTCCTGATTTTAGACCTGGTTAGTTCTGGTTTAGTCCTGGTTTAGACCTGGTTTAGTCCTAGTTTAGACCTGGTTCAGTCCTGGTTTAGTCCTAGTTTAGTCCTGGTTTTAGAGGTTCACAGGAGGGAGCACGGTTTACGCGGCGTACGCGAGAAAACACGGTCCACACGCGGCGCACGTGAGGACAGAGGTGTCCGCGCAGTAACTACGGAAGAAGACGTGACCCGCAAGTTCTCAGGTTGATGACGATGATGAAGGTGTGTGTTTGTGTGCGTGTCCCCTCATGTGGCAGGTCACTATAGGACAGTACTGCAGATTTTATGAGCCTATGCAGGTTGTTTTCACCAGCGCCAGTAGCTCTGGTTTGACATTTAACTTGTAGGCGATTTTATATTTGTTTTATATATATATAATATATATATAATATATATATATATATATATATATATATATATATATATATATATATATATATATCTCGCGTCGGGAGAAGAATTTCCAAGACACAATGTGTTTTTACCTGTGCACTGCTGACTCTGTTCTACTGGCTCTTCAACCTCGTCCATTGTGCAACTGACGCCGCCAACGTTAACATGACGTTTACATCGCTCTTACTGCGCGCGTTTGTGTGGGTTTCCGGCAATGAGTGGAATTACCGAAATAAATAAATGGGAGGTAGCACAGAATGTGAAAACAGGAAAATACCGCTTTGTAATCCACTTATTTCAGCAAAGTAACTGTAATCCAATTACCACTCATTGAAACAGTAACTGTAACCGAATACAGTTACTCATAATTTGTACTCTGATTACGTAACACCGGTACATGTAATCTGTTACTCCCCAACACTGGTCATACTGAGCTAAAAATGCAACAGCATAAAATGAAGCCCCCGCAGGCTGAGTTTGTGTGTTTTAATGTCCTCTTTTGACATTTGTATATGGACAGTTAAATAATCAGTTGTTTAATGTCCGACAGACTGAAAAGATGAATACGTTGATTTGTATGACCACTGTTTTAAATTTGACAGATGACAATTGACACAGTGTAAGGTTTATTTTTTAAGAGTAAAGAATGTGCATAAGGGCATTGGTGTTGGAGTGTTCTGGACTCTTTGTCTTGGTCAGTGACTGGCTGAAAGCATTTTAAATTAATTGACTGGGAAAATCAGTGGGAGGAGATCATTGTCATATGTACAATAATTTGAAAAAATAACTTAATCAAATAAGTCAAATAAGCTTATAATACCCGTCAAATAAGGTGTTAACGCATTAAAAATAGGCGTAAATGTGAACAGTTTGGAATGTCATACACTCCATCCATGTGTTTATTTTTTCATCTTCAAATATTTGATCCTAGAATCATTATCAAACGTGAGTCAGAGTGAAATGTACTTGCCAAATGCAGCTGCCATGGTGTCAGAAGAGAAAATCACATCTGGAGGAAAAAAGCATCATGAGAAAAATAACAAAGGTAGTAGTAGCAGTTGTAGTATTTTAATCTTTTCCCAGTCGAGGAGGAGGCGTATCTGGCCTACCTTTGTTTACTAGACACTCCCATCTCTTGTCTTAGTTTAACGATCTCAGTTGTCATCAGTTGTTAGTGATAATTACCCTAATAAAACTGTAAAAAATCTGCATTTATCTAAACCTTATGTCTACGACTTCAATTCAGCCATTGCATGTAGAAAGTTTATTATAGATTTTAATTAATGGAAATAAAACTCACCGTCTAAATGTTTAATGCGTCATAATCTTGAAGCGAAAGTAATGTTTTATCACCACTGAGCATGCGCAGTAGATGAAAACACGTTAAAACGCCAAACCGACTCCTTATCTTCTTTTGAAATACCAGTGAACTTAAGCTTTCACGAGACGTTTGTAAAAGATAACAAGGGGTGTTTCTCGTGCTCATGAATTAGTGTGCGTCTCTGTTAGAGCAGGTAGATCGTCCTAAGCGTCACATTTACGGCGTCAGAGTAGTAAATATATTCATTTCATCTCAATAAGTTAATTTAACTTTTATGTGAAGCACTTTGTTCTGCTAAAGATTTCTAAATATGCTATATAAATAAACTTGAATTGAATAAATGATGTCATCCTACCTAATGGGGCAAGAAACAGTTCTAAATTCTCACTATTCATCACATTTGTACCTGCCATGAAAGATAAAGACTAAAAGTAAATTAAACAAAGCTGATCATTTCTATAATTGAATAGACTCTAGAACTGCCTGTATTACAACCACAGACTGTGATTATAACACAACTCTGTGTTTGAATATTCATCTTATCTGCCCCATATCTGTATTTAACATGTTATGTCACCTAAACTCCAGTAACAGGTTCATTCGTGCTGATATTGGAGTTTTCATTCATTTTGTGTTGATGAAATGGACGTGAGCCGCACTTGAGACGTTCCAGAGCGACGCTCTACGTCTTCCTCTGATGTGTGCGCCCCGTGTCCGCCCGCTATCCACGTCCTCACGTCACGAGCCGCGCAAAAAGTTGGACAGGTGCAGCCTCCCCTCAGACTCACGGCAGGTACAACCTGTTTTAAAGTTTTAAAGTATGACATTAAAACACGTCTGTTTTTCCATTTCTCAAAACATACTTTGAAAACATGCTCTCTTACTGTGAGTGGAGTCGCCTCTCCACAGATCTGACCTGTAATCAGCCTGGTGGTTTCTCCTTAGAGACTGATAAGTTAAATACTGTACTGTGAAATATTCTAGGCAAAAACTGACCCTCCACTAGAGAAGTAAAGTCACACCTTTTAAATGACAAATAAAAACTTCACTCTCCCCCAATTTTCTTTTGAACATAACAGACTTTTCTAATGCAGTGTTCAGTTTGTCCTTTTATTACCATCTTCATCAGGTCGTACACAAAAGACAGGACACAGTGTGAAGTTAATCAGCTTTCAGAGGTGGGACTTGCAAGTCGTGACTTGGACTCGAGTCAGACTTGAGTCACTATTTTTAGGACTTGAGTCTCGACTTGATAAAATGGACTAAGACTTGGGACTTGACTCAGACTTGATCCCTGTGACTTGAGAAGACTTGATGCTTCTGCTAAAAAATCTGTTTTTAGAAAATACTTTTCTGGGGCTTCCGGCGTGAACATGACTTGTTAGAGGACGTGTTTTCGCTGTGCTCCCGCACCCACCCTAACTTAATTAAGATGTAATACGCGTGACTACCAATACGGACACAATCTAAGTACTTTCTAACACTTTAATTTGAGTTTTTTTTTTTCTTTGGACGCTGAACTATGTCGAGACAAACGAAAATTCAAACAAAAAAGCTGACGACTGCTAATGCTAGCACTAGCCAAAAAGATGCCCTCCCAGAAGACGAGCCGCCTCAAGTCCAAGCCCAAACTCCAGCTCAGGACTTGGATGACACCGAGGCAATAATACTCAAAGTGTAATGGAGGAAAGGCTGTCAAAGTTCTCTGAGACACTGGATAAAATCTCCGCCAGGCTTGATAACCACGATACACGCGTTACGGCGGTGAGCAGCGAGTTTCGGATGCAGAAGACAGCGTTACGGAGCTGGCGAGGAGACTGGCTGACGCCGAAAAGAGAATCGCTTCTATGGCCAGTGGTTTGGATGATATGGAGAACAGAAGCAGGCGAGACAACATCCGCATTATCAACCTGAAAGAGGGGTACGGAGGGACCAGCCCGCTACAGTTTTT